TTATGTGATTATATAATTGCAAATGCCAACAATTTCTTCTATAAAATGATTAAATAACATTTTCTCTCGACGCGAAGTTACACCGCAGTACGTGATCGAACGGCCGAAGAATGTACATCACCGTTGCGACGGCCTCCTCGGATAGTAACGGTGTGCCGTTCGAACGTTAATATTGATCAGGCGTACGCCGAGTTAGAGGTATTTACGCGTAGTCACACGCGACGCTAAACCGTCGTCGATGGCGAAGGGAACGGAACGAAAACTGAATACGAACGTTTCTTCATGCATATCCGAGGATTTCCTCGCCTTGTACAATATGACTATTTAATTATCCCCGGAAAGTCGGAAAGTAACGAGTTTTTCGTAACACCGTCACCGTTATTACACAAGTCGCTTCTTCTCAGTGAAGGCCTGGCAACACATCGTTTCTCTTCGTCAATGACAACAACGGCGACGTAATTATATATTTTCTGTAACAGTAACGAACATAATCGTTACTTTTATCGCGAATTGACGTATTTATGTAACGTAACGGGTAATTTATGTAACGGCAGTAACGGGTAATGAAAGGATAAAGAGTTCCTAACAATCGATAAGGAAGGTAACGGAAACTGTAATGACTCGTTGTTTCTGGAGTAACGGTCAAGGCAACGAGTTATTCCTTAAATACGTAACGAGCAGCGGTATAATGAATTCTACTTTAAAAAAAGCAACTACTAACTCATTCCTAAAGACTTGTAAATTCTTCTTCTGGTGCAGCCAAGTAAAAAGATGTCTTATTTGATATTTCGTTTATAGCATATGGTGGCAGAACATACTTATTTGCACATACATTTGGTGAGGTTGCAAACATTGATTGTTGCAATGAATACTGTCGAAATCTCGGTAATACCGAGTTAATGCGGCGTTCCGCCCGGTTTATGGAGAAATCAAGGTTTGATTCGCGGATACGTCGATTATGGAGATCTTCCGGACACTCGTTTTCAACAAACCATTTCCTTTCTAACGTATATCGCTCCATAGAATATAAAACTATTGTCATTTTTTTGCCATTAGGACTTCCGGCAGGAATGTTCGTGCGCGCGCGCAATCGTTTCTCTTGCTTATTTATGTTAATATCGACATATTTTGCGCAATTTTATTTTTTGCATATTTTCGTTTTTATACTGATGTTAAACTGAAAAAAAAATTATTTTTTAATTTTCGCTCGAAGATTGCTCCAAATTTCAACCCCACGTGCGATAACGCACATTCACGCATTACATCCTCCAACAATACATATTAATATTGACAATATTAATACCCAGTGCTTTGTTCGTAAAGGCCTTAAATAATGCCGTAAATTCTTTCTTTGTTTTTCCACATACGCAATTCCGCTTATCTTTCTCACTCGGCAGGCATTTCCGCACACGTGCTTTCGATAACGTGAATCGAATCACGTGACGCGACCATCGCGTGTATCGCTGCGGCGCGAAAGAAATCGGGAGTTTTAAAAGCAGACGCGTACAGTTTTACGGCGGCATAGATTAGCGCTATCTCGAGTGGCATCGGGAATCTTGTCTCGCGGTAAGAGATGCATGGCCTGTTCATGGTGTCCAGGAGGGGACCCGGCAGAAGTTTCTTCGAGGCGCTAAGCGACTGTCCGTTTGCCGTTTGGTAACTCAAGCGGAATAATTACCGGCCCTGCATAGACACACTCCGGTGTCGTGCTCCCTTCGCATTTTCAGCCGACTCCACAAGCGGCAGGGGTGAGGCAAATTTACTCAGGGGTCTCTTCTCTTGCACAGGTGTCGAGGCGCGGAACGAAAGAACTGCGTTACGCGCGGCCGCGCGAACCGGATTTTTCGAATCTCTCACCTGAGCCGAAGCTTCCCCTCCCTCTTGCATACTGATCGCTCGTTGAGTAGAATTACCGAGCGGAATTACGCGATTACTTCGAAATGATCCCTATCGTTCGAAATATTCATTCCTTTTCAATAACTTTCCCTTCATCCGGAGAAAATGTTCTCGTAACAGATTTAATCCCACAGCGGACGATTTTCCACCTATTCATGAATAAATGTATAAAACAATCAATTACGATTTGTCTGTGCTATAAAAGTTAAATAAAATTGCACAACTACAACTCGGTAAACAAGTAGCAATAATATATTGCATTAATGTTATAATTTTCCACTCGACAATATAAGTACGATATAACATAAGTTGTAACACATATTGTTGTTGTTTGGTTTTACGCAGCGGTTGTTGTGTGAGAAATCATAACATCGATGTGCAATATGCACCGTGTCCATTCTATAATTAGAGAAGCGTTTAGATGCGACTCGAAGTGAAAATCGTCGGAGGAAGAGAAAAAACACTTTTGCGGTAATCTAACACGTAATTACGACTTCGCGGAAATTCACGAGAATTAAACGAAAGTGCATTGTCTCGTCAGAGACATTACGTAGACGCTTACGCAGGAACTTTGCTGAATTTACAATGCGGAGGAACCTTGCACGTCGCGTACCGCTTACGAAACGCGTGCTATAACGATTACACAACGGCCAATAACGGTGCTAAAGCGATAATAACGCGGTAAATATTGTTACTGTTACCCGGCACGATCGATGTTATCGATCGCGTTATGCCGCTTTACGTGCATACCGTTTGCGCAATAATCGTTCGGCCCGTTCGTTCACGTGGTTGCTACGCAGAAGCTTGAAAGGAAATAAGCGAATCAATCTCGATATACTGACGCACAGTTCTTTCAACTACCAGTAGGGATCTGACTACATAATAAAACTAGTTCCATCTCTGGTGGAAGGTTAAGTAAATCGGACGACAAAAACCTTCTATTATTTTGCAAATGCGAATTTTGCAAAATGATACATGACTTTTTTATTGAGCTTCTCATGTTTTACACAGCATGGATCCCAAGAAAATTCTCGGACACCCTATATAATACACTTCTTGATAAATTGTAACCTTGGCTTCGAGCGTCGCTATTAATAATGATGGCGCGCTCGTCATTAAGCGCTATTGTTACAGTATCGCATGTTACAGGAGCGCTATTGTTACGGTATCACACGCGCACATCGCCAATTACCGGTGATCGCATGCTAAACTTTTCGTTCGGGTCAATTTGATATTTTAGCTCCGAGACGAAGCGTCAGTAATCATAAAATGTTTTGTATATCATTATTACGAGACTCATGTTATGCGGCAGATCAAATTTAGCTCGTAACAGGACCACCGATCCACGGGAAGTCACGAAAAATTATAGTCCTGCATGGAACGTGTTAGGGTAAAATTCATTCGACTCAGATTAAATTAATCGATGAATAATAACAAGAATTTGCCAAGGCCAATTTTCAGATTTGCGCAACAAATTCGTTCAACACGCACAATAATAAAAGAAAATTAACGATCTCTCTATCTGTGTCAGCAAAATAGAGCAGGTAACAGCTTGGTTGGCAATAATTAAAAATCGTCGGTTAGATTAATCCGAGCCTGGTGAAAAACACCTTTAATTTAGAGCATAACGGAGGCGATCCGACGCATTGATCGTCATACTGTCTGCCCATTCTCCCCCCCCCCCCCNTTCCGAAGAAACGTAATAAAGTTCATGAAATGCGCGATGACGAATTTTCATGGAAGTCGGTCGAAAGGGAGCCTCGTGTCGCGAGAGATAAACGATCGCCGATGAAATACGCGATGAAACGGCAGGGTTAACGGCTTGTTTCGCGCATGCGTTCTCTCGCAATGTCGTTCCCGTGCGAATCTAGGCTAGTCAGCTGCAATCGAGATGCAGCAAATGAGTCTAGGCGGTCTATGGGGCTAGTTGCAGTCCGACGGTCTCGCGTCAGTCTGCGGCACGAGTCTCTCCGTCTTAGACGTTCCGACGCGCTCGAGACGCTTTTCGCGCGCATGTCACGCGCCGTGCTGCGAGTGCGATACGTGAATAGTGTGGACTGCAGCAACACTTTTTACACCAGACTTGTAATACCGGTAATTTAATTTTACATATATCAAGGCTCCTGATTATTCGCTGCCTGACCTTGTTTAATGAAACGAGAACACGCAAGATTGTTTTCGTTATACTTTCAAATAAAATGATATATCCAAAACATGACGTTTCTGATCGATTCAGTAGACTTGTAAAATTGGACGAACACTTTCTTTTTATTCAAACAATCAATGAATAATCGTTAAACTAACATTTACGAAATCATGAGAAAGGAGGTTAGAGAGGAACGTTCCAGGTACAAATTAATTTTGCGACTGTTTATTAATTTATTTCGTATACTCGTAAGTGTTCGAGTGAAAGAAAACTGTTCGTCCAATTTTATAAGTGTGCTGAATCGATGACGATCCAGATAACGTAATGTAGCGGATGTTTTAAGTGGGAGAGGTTTTAAAAGAAAACTGGCTCAAATCGTAGAATGGAGGAAAATCAAAGAAAAGCGTTTAATAGTTAGTACACACTTCCGAGCCTCGTCGTGTCTCAACTAGCCCCATAGACCGCCTAGACTCATTTGCTGCATCTCGATTGCAGCTGACTAGCCTAGATTCGCACGGGAACGACATTACGAGAGAACGCATGCGCGAAACAAGCCGTTAACCCTGCCGTTTCATCGCGTATTTCATCGTTCATCTCTCGCGACACGAGGCTCCCTTTCGACCAACTTCCATGAAAATTCGTCATCGCGCATTTCATGAACTTTATTACGTTCCTTCGGAAACGCGCGGGGGGAGGATGGGCAGACAGTATAACGATCAATGCGTCGGATCGCCTCCGTTACGCAAACGACAACTGCCATTCCATACGTTTCTGTCGGAGTATATATCCTCTAGCGTTGAAGGGAAAAGAAAGAAATTTTCGATGACAGTTTAGCTAAAAAGAACAGACCTCTTGTTGGTGGAAACGCGCGTTGACAAACGAAGGCACCCCTAAAGTGCGATGCGCGCGCACGAAATCAGCCCCGGGGAATCGCGGATCCGCACCCCCGACTGAAAGGCGCTTATCGATCGGGTGACACACCGACTGGCGACGGCAACCGAGGCTGTTAAACCGGGCGTCGGACGGAATGGTGTTAAAGAGACGCGCGTGTCAAGACGGGATAAATGAGCGCGTGTGATCCGCGAAGTAGCGAGGAAAGTACGATCCGGATCGAGTGCGCTCGCCTGTATAATTAGCAGTGAATAAAGTCGATACCTTATCGCCGTTCGACACACTCACGGGAGACGGAATGAGGGATGCCGCGGGAAAGTAAGTGGACGATCGCGTGAACAGGTTGAACTCGTCGAACCCGGCTTATCAGTTTGCGTACAACCAGTTTAATAAGAGCGTGACCGGCGTAAAATTTTTAATTTTATTTATTATAAAAAATGAAAAAAATTACACATGTACTACACAATCAGTACTGCAACGTTTTTGCATTAACAAGGCGTTCAATCGCCGTCGTTGCCAATTAATTATTGCCCGACATCTTCCAGGCATACCTTCCTACCGATTTTATAGCATGCTGTCGAGATAAATATCGAACGAATCTGTTTTTATCGTGTATATTTTTTTCCCACACAATTTTAACTTTATCAATGCCCAGACATTTTCAATAAGACTCGCGTCTGATGATTGTGATGGCTAGACCTAATGTTTCGACGTTATTTTCTTCCTTCCATTGTGGAGCAAAGACTACTCCACTCTTTTGGGTTATCCTCTTTAAGATCCAATTTCATATATTTTGCAGGCTTCCTTTCAATCGAATTCCTCGATTAACCCGACGATCAATTTACATCACGTGCAATAAAAACTATATTATAAGCGGATATTTGCGCGGATTAGTTGTACGTCGGAATAAGTGGGTCAAGGAAAGGCGTGTAAACCTGTACTACCCGTTTGATAAATTGTAATATATATAGATAGAGCCCGCGAAGAAAAAAAACAAGAGCCTCTCGATCTAAAATGACGCTATTTATGAATGAATTCGTAAGAATAATATCCTTAACGATGACGCTTAGTTCGCGCTTAGCCGCGAGTATTCGGCGACGACTTGTTTCTCGGCGCTGTGAAAGGTATGATTCGGCGATGACGAATGCCGAATCGTCTCGTAATGATGCACGCGATAATGCAAAAGTATTAAGGTCAACCCACACACGATTGAATACTCAGTCTTTACACACATATTAAAATGTGAAATAAAATATAGAATGTCTAACGAGGTATTTATTTTCCAAACAATGACAATTTTTCGTAATTACTCACTTTTCATTGACCTTACCTTGATACTTTTACATGCAGACTGACGCGGAGAATGTATTTAAATAAAGATAAATACATGATACCGTTGGAAAAAGAATTTCTCGATTTTGAGCACCCGGGTAATATCCGAGTATTGGAGTATAGAAATATTCGACCGATTTATGCTGATTAATCGTAACGCGTATATTGCGCTCGCAGTTTGAAAAAGGTCGAGCGCGTGCAAAATAAAGGACTTCCGAGAATCCTACATACGAGAGTAATAAATATTATGTTCTTCGGCATGCGTCCGCGATGGCGTGTGCCGGAAGTGAGATGCATTCCGATACACCCGCCCGACGGCACGTTAACCAACAGTATTACGGGTTTCTCTTCTGCCTTTCTCTCTCTCTCTCTCTCTTTCTTTCTCGCCGTTTGCATGCATAGAGAGCCTTGTCCAAACGCAAAGACCTCGACTCAATGTGTGCCACCTTGTTTACAAAACGTGAAGTGTAATGCCTCTAACTCGGCCGCTATCGCTTCGCACGATTAATACGGTATACTGTTAAGTACTGTTATTCCGTAAAGAAACTTGCTCGGCTGTTTGGTTATATTTGTTGGCTTTACCCGGAAATATCAAGGTCACTATCATCCAAGCATGATGCTCGATCGTGATAAATACGAAAGTAGGAGGCAACTCAGACAACAACGTAAACTTCTAAGATGTCCAAGAGATGTCTAAAAAAAAAAACGAGTTTCAAGTAACGACTATTAATAATTATTTAATTAAAAAATAAAATTTAATTAAAATTTGACAAAAATCGACCAACACAAGTTTAAGACGTACTTTTTATAAAATTCTACTGTCTGACATTAACAGCCGATTTGATAAATTTCTTTAAATAAAATTTCCGTCTTGTAGCGAGTCGTACAAACACGAGTAAACAATTTCATTTTCCTGATAAGGGCCCGCCTGACGATGGACGAAAAGAACGTCGACCAACAAGAAGGGATTAGACGCCGAAATGTTTGCAGAAGGCTTTTCCAGGACGACGTGGATAGTAATGAACAATCGACAAACGACAAGAACGACAATGGACGAACGAGCAATGGCGAGAACGATAACTTGGTCAATCGCTTATTCGAGGAAGCACGGCGAGATCGAGATAATGTAAGAAACAGAAAGGAGTGTTCTCCTTTTTCACATTTTCGTTCATAAATTCCATTAAATCTGAGCGGGCCAAGGTTGTTGCGAATTAAAACGCCTTGATTCGGTATAATTAGCGTCTCGAATGTTATTATGAATGCATATATGCGTCCAAACGAATTTCTTCCGATTACATTTTCGACGCAAACAACAGTAATCAGTTGTTGCGTCGGGCACTTATATTTATGTTATTTTATATATGTTTTATATATGTTTATCAATTGACAGGCCAAAGAAAGATGGAACTTCGATTTCGAGAACGAAGTGCCGTTGTCCGGTCGTTACGAATGGGTGAGGGTCGACCGTGACGGAAATGAAATCTCTGATTTCGCGCAGTTGAAGAACGGGGCGCCCGATTTACAAGAGGGACGGCCAGAGGAGGCGGCAAAGACGGATGCAGCAAAGACGGATGCGGAAGAAAGAGAATAACGATCAGGCGGTCGGAGCACGCGATGACAAGAAAAAGGCAGGAATGGAGAGAAATTGAATTGAGTCTTCTGACTGAGTATCGTGATATTATTTCATATTTATTACAGTAGATGTAGACCGTCAAGAAAACGTAGTAATTGAAATAGCTGAGAGATTTTGTATTCTGTAATTAACGACTCATCTTTCGCGGATACGAAAAATCGGAAGGATATGAGCGGTGAAAGTTACTCGTATATTTTTTGAGAATATGCGATGAAGTTCGATATTCGTACGAGTAACGAGAACGATCGATGTTTTCAAGACTTATAAATAGATAATGTGATAAATTAACGACTTTCGAACAATGAAATTATGTATATTAATTAAACTAGATTATTTATCTGTATAAATAATAGTCCAGCGGTACATCTCGCAGAAACCACCTAGTAAGCGGGAAACATTGAATCAATCTTTTGAAAAATGGATTTTATATAGATTTTATAAACATTTTAACATGATATTTTATATATATTTTTTTTAATTGTTACTTGATAATATAATATTTGTAAATATCCAAATCATAGTGCAAAAATATTATTTTTAATATTTGGGTCAAATATCAGTAACAATAACAAATTGTATATAACATTAAAGATTACATATTTGAAAATGTTACATATTTATAAAATATTATTATGTAATAACACTATATTAATGATTTCTTGCTTACTGGGTTGAATTTTCCATTTTCATAAATGCGCGTAAATCCTATAAAAAAGTAAAATTCGCGCGGATAAAAGGGAAGGAATCTTCGATGTCGAACTAAATTACTTTTATTAATTTTTACAATATCGCGTAATATTATTTATTTAACAAAATGAATGTGCAATATACGCGATTGTACTTGAGTGATAATATATATATACACATATATATATAGAACAGAATACGATAATATATGAAGAATGAAATAAATATCACAGCATTATTTATTAAATATTCAGAGCGTGCGTTTCATTTTTGAGATTCCCCGGCTTCTCCTTCCCTTCTCCTACCTCTGCACTTCAACAAAGAGGAGTAACTCCAGGCGCACGTGTTTGGTGAAACGATACTCGTGTGTTTGTTGCAACTCGTTAAGCGTAAGTCGCGCGCGCGCGCGAGATAAAACATTTGTCTCGAAGCGAGCGGTCACTATTTTGGAATTCAATAGTAACACAATAGTGGAATTCAATAGTAACACACTTTTTTGATCTTGGAGTTGGAGTTTTAACTAATCGATATTTCCTCACTTTAATCTCTACATCGTGTTCCATTCATGCCTTTGTGTAATAAAAAAGTCACGAAGTATTTCCGCGAACGTACATTTAGGCATCACCGTGCGTCACAGATGCGACTCTCAGTTGTGATTAAGTTCGCTGTGTTCCCAACTTCACGGTGTCTAAACCGTTTTGCAAGCAAACAAGTTTACGTACCTTCGTCGTATATGTGGGATATTCGCTGGCGAAGGGCCGATACCACGAGTATCACGGTTTCGTCGAACTTGCGCGGCGTATTTGTGAAAAGGCGCGAGAGCAGCACCTGGCATCGTTTCTTTAAGGATCGCCCTTTTTTCGCGTTGCTCGCGGCATGGAAGCTGGCCACCGACTCGGCACCAGCCAGAAATTGCACTTCCGTTCCGCGAATTCCCACGGAAGTGGGCACAATCGCGACGACGACAAAGAATATTCCCGCACAACGTGCACCACACACATTGTTCTGACCGAGCATTGAGGGTCCTTTCGATAAAGAACTTTCCGCGAACGCGAACGGATCTTAATGTCGGGATGCTCACGAGAAAGTCTCGTTTTTCGGAAGAGTCACGATCCCATCGCGGCCAACAGGAACACGCCCGCCTTGCGTCTCGTGCTTCTCGGTATTTTTAAGAAGCGAAAGACACCACGTAACATATTCATTGATCATTAGTTTCCCCTCCCCCCCTTCTTCCGGATCACTTTAATACACGGACTGCCAAGTGCGAGTTATCTCTCAGTTAGCGTGTGAAAAGAATTCTCCGCCGCATGCGCCAACTGCGACGTGAGACTCCCATAGATACTTTTTGCGGGAAATAGTAAATTAATAATCAATGATAAATTGTTATTGCGTGAGTTTCGCTGAATAATATGTATAATTAATTAATATTAGTTTCGGATCGTTCCTCGGCCTGAAGAACTGAAATGCTAACTCGAAAACCAAGTGGAATATTTATTCAAATCGCGAAAGCCTAAAATATCCATAGTTAATTAGCATTTTAAAATAACACGCTGATTTTAATATGACATCAAAAACCAAACCTCCCTGAAGTCACCGGTGACAGTCAACGCGTCGAGCTTTTGATCGGCAGTGTATTTCGATATTCGTGCCATTTCGATACACTTCTGTCTGTCTGTCTGGCGTGAAGTCTCGACTCGCGGTCGCCGAGATACCGCGAAGGAAAACCGGCTTTTTCTCGGCATTTGCGAAACAATGCTCCCGTTCTCAACCTCGACCCGCCACCTTGAGCTCGATAAAAGTAATTTATCGCGGTTGCAATTTTGCCATCGTTACTATCTTCTTTGCTGGCACGCAAGGAGATAACGCGACACCGGCAAAGCCGGCTCTAGTAGCGAAACGATGGAACAGGTGACTCTCTGCCGATGGTAAACACGTGATGCAGATGCGGCCACGCGTCTTCCGGTCGTACGTCTTGCCTCGCCGGTGAGTAAACATTAACTACTAACCTGTAGAAATAATCTGTGTAGCCGCCGCGCTTTGGATAGTACGCCTTGTCCGTGAAGCAAGCGATGTTTGTTTCCCTCCACGTCGTCAACCACCTGCGCACACGTGTAACGTATAAACATAAATAAAAGCTTCGCCGACACACCGAGAAAAACAGAGAACAGCGAGATCGACAGAATTTCACTTGGATGAGCGGAATTTATCCGAGCGAATATCAAGTCGATCGGACAAATTATACACTGAGAGAAATTAGAGTTATTTTTCACTTTAACTATACCCTTTTTACACCTTTAACCACAAAAATAATAGTAAAAATATGCATAAGGTTATTATCGTTGACACAAAAAAAAATCGTTCTTCTGACTATACTTGTTTCGCTTATGCGATTATAAATATTTTTTCTCTCAATGAACAGTTACTTTGACGAGTCATCAGCCGATTCAATGACCACGATCTGATAGCGATCCACATCGCCGCGATGTATCATCGCACGAACGCTTAGTTCATTCGGTGGATATTACAGTATTTTTCTGAACGAGGATGTTCGTTGATTTATTTCCTCTCGGTGTATCCATTAACTCTTATAACACCAAGAAAGAGAGAGAATTATTTTGTTTTGAACCGAGCAGTGTTAAAAATGCGATGAGTAATAGCGAGCCTGCTTGATTACTCGATTAATGATCGCCCGATTAATTAATTATTCGGCGGATGTACTTTGTAATAAGTATCACGGGAAGCGGGCAGTGGATATCCTTCGCTTTATCGCGAGTTATAAAGCACATCTGTGTAACGGGACACCTCACTGAAATGCACTTACACGGCGGACAATGAACGCAAGCCAGTGGTCTCTTTCTCTTTCTCCCCCCCCCCCCATTTCNCTGCCTGCGAAACGCAGAAAGAATTGTTTTACGCAAACTCGTTCGCTCGTCTCCCCTTATTGAGATGCATCCGGTGCCACCTCTCACCACTTCCTGGATGCTGCGTGGGATTTTCGTGTCCCGAAACGCCGCAGCGTACCACCACACCGGTGCGGCGGCGAGTCGAGTTTCCTTTCACCGGGTGTCGAGACAAAATAATGCCCGTATCAGACAAGATACCGAAGATTGAGGATTGCAAATCGAAGATCTTTTTCTTTCGCCCGGAAATTAGAAGTTGACCGATCGAGAAAAAGCCAGTTAATCGAACGAAGTTAATTCCTGATTCGTGGAACGCTGTAATCTTTAATCAACAATTCTTGATCTTCAATAATCTGATAATGGCTTAACTCGAATAAATACTCGATGAGCACTTTTATTTTCGTCATAATCCTGATAAAACAGATATACAGGAAGAAAAGTTGCAAACTCAATGAACTTCATAACGCATTTAACAGGAATATATCTCGCATCTAATACGAAAATTTATCTCCTGAGGAATATTAAAAAAACAAGTTCTCTCGTATTGTGTACGAATACATTGTGAAAAAAAATGTTGCAACCTTTCTGCTACTGATTACATATACATATGAGGTCATTCAATAATTACGTAGCACGAAATTTGAATATTTTTTATTCTTCCTCCTTTTCGTCACAAAATATTCGGACCTTCTTCCAATATTATGTGACATATGACTCTCTTCCCATCGCTTCCGCATAGAATAAGGAATAGAATAAGGAAAAATTGTTTATAATCACATTACCAAATATTAGACTGTACGCTATTTACTTTTTCTAAACTACAAATATATATCAAATCAAATTAGTTACTTTATTTTATAATCTTGACTGTATAATTTTGACTATAAAAATTGTGTTTTTAGAAGAATAAAAATATTTAAAAAATCAATATTTTGATCATTAACACAAAATCATGTTAAAACTTAAAAATGTTCACTAAGTGTAACCAAATGTTTCGTGAATGCAAACAAAGTAGATAACACACGCACATTCATAGTCACAAGTTATGTCATCTAAATGTGACGTTCCATGGCCTTTCCTCTTCCTCCCCCTCTCGTCATCATGTGCGCTAATAAACCCTCTCCTCCCTCGTTATGTGACGTAATTGTTGAATGCTCTCGTATATGTATATATATATATATACACACACATTTAGATAGCACAGTTAGTTTCATACACGTTCTTTAAACGTATGCAATATGATGATATACATATGTAATGTGATCATAAAACGTTACGTGCATGAATCTAACATGTACTACTTGGGGTACAAGTCTTATCGAATGTTCGCGACACCTCGATATTCTTCTAAAATTAACCGAAGAATCACTCGCCGATTCAGTCCGGGTTCTCGCGCGGCGGGTCGCGTTCGGAAATTCGAAATACTCGCGCCGCGTTATGGCGGTGTGTCGAGGCAGCGCTCACGCCAACACGCCGTCGGCAGCGTCGGCTTTGTGGCGAACGCGCTCTCCAATTGGCCTTCGCGATCGTTTATCTACGCTCCGCTCGCCGCGAGTTGCCGTGCAGTCTTGCCCGTGGGCCGCCTCGCGTGCCGCTTACGCGAGACGCGAGCGACCGAGTAAATTGACAATTATCAATGAAAAGTTCCAATTCGTCCCGTCGACTTTACGTCGTCGCGGCCGACGTTGCAACGTGCGCTCGATCCTCATGATCCGCTATAATCGCGTGCGCTGAATCGAGCACAGCGCTCACAAAAAAATACGATTTTTATTTTTATTTTAAATACGAAAATTTTTTTTTTCGTTCGTCATTCCATACATCATTGCAAATTAATTGTGCAACTTAACTCGTTTGCGCAATTATCACCCAGCGTTGGTCCTTAAAGGGTCTTTTCTAGATCCCTCGATCGAATTATCTCGTCACTTTTGCCAAGTAACTTCAGATGCGTTATCTTAAGTCCGAATCTACAATAGGTGTGGTGAGAGTCTTCTTCTCTAAACAATAAAACGTAACGTTATTTCTGACAAAGCACGTTTCCCACGCTGCCAAATAATCGTAATAACCGCTTAAATCTTAGGATTTGTGACGTGTCTGATAGCGTGGGAAACATTTTTTGCTAGAAATTGAGTTGCATTTAAGCGTTTAGAGCAAAAGGTTTTAATCTTTTGCTAAATAATAACAAATAGTAAATAATGGTTCCGGTTTACTATTGTAGATCACAACCGAACGTGGAGACCGGAATGGAGGGTCGTTTCATATCGTTCACCGCTTCTCTCCGGTTCGGAGAGTTCGCGTCGCCTCATGAAAATTACGATAACATCTTGTTTCTATGTGCGGACTAGCCCGACACTCTCGTTCAGATTTTTCGCGCGACGGATCTATCGCGCAGTATAAAACTTCGGCGATAATCCGGGCGGTATGCAAATAACTTCACCGTGTGTAACGCCTCGCGTCGTGCAAACATGGAAATCCACCAAATATACGCGCGCGATAAGATTACGCATGTTGTTTTGGAGACTGGATTTATTTATTTCTCGCGTCTCCCGCGCTCTCTCAAGCCGGAGGACGCGCCCGCTTTCTCTCTCTCTCTCTTTCTCGTGACGCTACCGTTCATGAATACAAGCGTGTGATGGGCAATTAAAGCGACAAATTAAAGCCACGGTTTCATTCAACGTTGATCGCTTGGTCGAGAGGTGAATAATGCTCGGCGTGAAGAAAAATACAGCGGCTTTATTCTTCATGGGACATTGACGCGCCCGGAAGATCGACGGGACATCTCTGTGACGATAAACGAGACGAGGATTAATTGAAAGGTCGCGATCGTGTGACTTTTCTCTCAGAGCGGAGACGCGAAACGTGAAAAGTTTCACGTAAACTCGCCGATCCGAGTATCGGCAGTCGTTATTCGAAGCTTATCTCACATGCACGATACAGATCTCAATCTAGAATTAAGATCTGAGTTTTTCCCGTTGAATCACACGATACAAGTGTGACATTCGGCCTTTACGGTTGTAATTTGACCGCCAAACTCACATCTAACTCCCGACTCGAACATGAATATTTGGAACATTCCGGATGACCTTTTCCAAATTCTAACCAAGCTATCGACGATTAACTCAGCCGGCAGAGTCAATGTAAAACAGCTTGTTAAAACAGTGAGAGAAATCATCGCGTCTTCTCTTCCTAAAATCGAGGATTAACCGTTCTATTCTGTTAACATACGCACAGAAACTGAGTTCGTCTTGCGTGCTTTCGTGCCGAAAGCCTCGTTCTGTCTTCATTTCTCATTACATGCTGAAGGAAGATAGAACAATGCTTTCAGCACGAAAGCATGCGAGACGAACTTGGCCGGAATGACTAATCTTTTGGTCACTGTCAGACAACGAATTTGCTGTTGGCCATGTTCCGCCGGTTGTATACATATGTATACATATAATCGTCGATCGAATTAACTGGAGTTTGGAGAGAGTCACCCTCAGGATATATATATATATATATATATATACCTCGGGAAGAATCATCGCGAGCTGACGCTCACACTTATCGGACATCTCTACCGATAACTCTGGCGAGGAATCCGCCTTGCAATTTCGCAACTGCCCGGAACCTGGAAGAGAGCGGTGAACGCGTGAATGCAGGCAGAAGCGGAGGTTGCGTTCGGCATTCCGTTTGACCGTGCTCCCGTGGTAGTAAGGACCGATTAACTGTACAAGATCTCTCCGCCTGGCGGGCCGCACAGAACAACCCACACGGCGGAGACCGCAGTCGCGTCGAGGTGACTATACATCGCGAATGGCGGTTATTTCGTCCCTCTTCTCGCTCGGCGCGCGATTGGCCCGGCGGGGTCGGGAGACGGGGAAACGGCGAAGGTGGCCGATCGGCCGGCCGGAGACGGCCGAGCTCGCGAGGGAGGCTCGCTCGCCCGCAGCGAGAGAAGCGCGCTTCAGTCGCTAGAGAGCGCTTCTCACGGTCGTTAGGTACCTCCGCGCAGCTCCGTGAGCCGCATATCGCGCACGTATCGTCGTGTACGGCGTCACGTAACTGCGCAATCGTGCCCGCACGTTACTTCCCGACCCCGGTGGGACCCACGCGCGCGCGCCCGTCTTGACAGTCGGCGTGTTTGGCGGGAAGCGCCTCGAGACGCGTATTTTCCATGTTTATTGACTCGGAGACCGCCCCCACCGCGGCGTGCCGTTGCGGGCCGTGTGCAATATAGCGTTTTTCCGACGGGGATTTCCTCTCGACCCCCGGTGCACGCGTTATCGCGTCTCCAGTGTGCGCTCCTGGCCAGTGCTCGGTCGTGTGTGGAATGTGAGACGGGGAATCGTAGCAAGGAGACAGAGAAAACGTAGGAAAAAAGACTAATCGGAAAGAGTGAGTGAGTAGTGAGAGACACACACACAGAGTCACGGACAATCTGGACGTTGGACCACAAAATTCGCGCGGGACACGTAACACGCTCTCTCGGCCGTCGCTCGGGTATATTCACGCGCAAGTGCCGGAGTGCGACGTTGCCGAATCGCCCGTTCTCCGCAGGCTACGCCGAAGGAATCGTCGTGTTGCGAGGAGAAAGAGAGAGAGAGAGAAAGAGCGAAGCGGCGGTGTCGGGAGGAGAGAGAAGGAGAGTGTGTATGTGTGTGACTGCGCGCGCGTGTATTTCGTCGCGTTTTCACGAGAGGAGCGTCCTCGCGTCGACCTTGACGGATCGTTCGGCGCGATGCAGCAGCGGGTTCGCGCGCGAGCTTGAGTCTGTTTTCGCGTTTCTCGCCGCTATCTCGCTCCGGCCCATAGTAACCGTGGCCATACTGCGTTGCCAAGCGTGACTGCTGTTACGACCCCGTACACGCGTTGTCCTGTGAGCTCCGCTCCTCGGCGGTAACCTGAATAGTGTCACCCGAGCATCGTCGTCGTCGCCGCTCACCTTCACCGCGGGGAGACGTCGCGTCGGTGGAGCTCGGCGTTGCGACGGCCGAAGCTGACGAAACCAGCAGCATCAATAGGCAGCATCATCGTCAGCAGCACCAGCGGCGCGGCCATTATTCGAAATTCGGTGGGTCGCGCCACGGCAGGCGACGTTGCCACGTTCCGTCGGCCGCGGTACGTAGCCGCGATTATTTCAACGAGCGACGGACGCACGGCAACGGGGACGAGATTCCCAGAAGGAATCATCGTCATCCCCGCGTCACGGCTGATGCTGGAAGAAGAAGAAGCGTGCTGTTATCGCGCGGAGTCGCGCACGATCGCGTGGTGAAAGAGAGTGAGTGAGAGAGAAAGAAAACGAAGCAACTTCGGGAGAAGGGACAGTCCGCGCTATTCATTCCCTAACCTCTTTCTTCTCTCCGAGGGCGAGTGTTTTCGCATTCCCTCCGCGTTCGTTCCCGCGAAAAGAGCGGCGCGAGAGCGGAACAACGTAGATAGGAGGACGAGATCAAGTGAAAGAGAGAGAGGGTGGTGGGAGAGCGGGAGGAGGAGAGCGTTCTTTGCCGTTGTGGAGCGCCGCGGCGGCGATAGAGCGCGACGAAATATGAGCGCACGAGTACTGAACCCGGCGATGATGACGGAAATGAGCAGGAACCTAGGCGGAGGAGGCGGCGGCGGCGGTGGCGGAGGCGCAGGAGGCGGCGGCGGGCGACCAGTGCCGAGCAGGGCCGCGCTCGCCCGCGTACGTCGCGATCTCTTCGGCCCGGTGGACCACGTAGCGGCCAGGGCGCTCGCCGAGCGCGAACTTCGCGCCCAATCCCTGCTCGACGCCGAGCGATGGGGTTTCGACTTTCACCTGGAGATACCGCGGCCGAACTTGCGCTACGAATGGGAGCTGGTGACGGCGCAGGATGTCGTGCCAGAGCCCTACGCTCTCCGCGGCATGCCCTATCTGAGGAAACACGCGCCCGGCGCGTCGCGCAAGTCGCGCGCCGATGACACCGTCGCGACGACCGCCTCATCGACGACGACGACGGTGGTCGCGACGTCGATAACGACGACCAGCAGCACCACCATGATCACCGCGAGGATCACCGAGCAGACCGAGACGACGAACGCCACGTCGGCGGCGACGTTGATGGCGATCGGTGCGACGGAGAGGACGCCGCCGCAGGAAGCCAGAGTGCCCGAGATCGGCGACGCCACGACGCCCGGCGAGCTCTTGGACGCGAACGCCAAGAGGAAGAGGTGCCCCATCGAGCCGACCACACCTGTATTACCCCTCGCTGCCAGGAAGCAGTCAGCTATCACAGGTAAGAGTGGAACGAGCGTTGTTTACCTTGTTGCGCGCATTCGGTACCGTCGCACCGCCCGGTGAGAATTCTCGGATCTAATCGGGATCCAAAGGTACAAAGCGACCGGGAAATTCATCGAACTAGTTGTTGTAGTATCGAGAATCCGTGCGATAAGTGCACTCGACATTTAGGGTATGAATCCACAATAGGTGAGTCTAGGTCAGTTTGAGCTCGAAATTCTAACGTTATTTTTAGAATAAAGTATTTCCAGCGCTGCCGGACGCTTTCTAAGATTCATGCGTTATCACGACGTGACAGCGCGGGAAACGTCTTTTTGTCGGAAATTACGTGATATTTTGTCGCTTCGAGTTCACGCTCAGTGAAAATTCTCGGATCTAGTTGGGTCCGCTCTCAGATTTCAGATTTAATTGGGATCTGAAAATAAAAAACAATGAGGTGAAAAAGCTGCATGAACGATTGTAGCAACTGTTTAATGTGTTCAGCGGTATAATCGCTCACAGAAAACTGTTGGGTCTGAGACCACTTTCAAATCTTATGATGTAGAAGTACGAAACGATCGGCTCCAAAAGCTGAATGAGCGTTTTAAATCTGTGAATTGTAACTTAAAACTTGTCTCAAGCGAGATATTCCAGTTGGAATTTAGAGTTAAATGCGAGTTTTTTTTGTTGAATCGCGATTTACAAAATATCTTGCGATTCAACTGAGAGAAAATCAGATCTAACTCGAAATTCAGATCTGAGTATTTCACACGAGGAAAGTCTCACGTAACGATTGTTGACATTGGTCACAGTATCAGATGCGTTTATTGAACGATAATCGAAAATCATAAGTAGATCGGTTTATTGTTAACGTTCTTTTTTTTTTATCATCGTGTTGTCATAAGTTTATATACCCGCATAAATAAATTCGTCATAAGCATTAAATTTATTCAAAATATATTCTGAATCCTGGTAAATTTATACTTCAATCAAGAATATTAAGTTAAAACAAACTTCGATTTGCGTCAAATTAACCGAATTAAACTTATCTTCTCTCGATAAAGTTTACAATATTCTTGAAAAGAGAATAAATTCCTCTTTCAAATACGTGATAATGAGTTTTCGTAAAATTTGCGATAAATAGATTTTAGGACTATTGTATCAAGAAAACATTTTTTTATTGAAAATAATTATTTAAAAGAAAGGAGGTAAACTGAGTAATCAATCAGCTTTCTTAACAATCGAATGATATTTTTCCCCGTATAATGTCCATGATAATAATCTCACATGCGTACAGCTATTATTATTTTCGGATTTGAACCCGAAGATGTAATTAAAACTGAAAATGGCTATAATTTCAGTACGATTTCTCTCAGTGTAGTGATCTCGATTTAACTAGATCTCACGGAAAGGAACTCTCCGGGTGTCGCTCGTGAATTCGTTGCTTCTATTTGCATTAGATTAAATTCTATTCGCGGCGCGCGCTAAAAGGCATCGACGTGCCGACGGCCGATTATATAAACGCGTGCAACCGGGCAATGTTTGTTTTTCGGATGTTGTTTGATCGCGCGCACGCGCTACATACGAAATTATAATACGTAACGGCTGCGACGTTATCGGCCACGAACGAACGATGATTCGGCCGCGATGAAACGACGCGTGTCGCACGATGACGACGTGGTGTGGTGATGCTCCGCGTGATTGTAAGATGCGCGCACGGCGCCGCTTTCCGCGGCTCCTTTAATCTGTTCGTAAGTCATCCACATATCAGCCGGCTCACGGAGGCGAGGTTTGGCCACGATAAAAAGTTTGTTTACACCTGCATCGCATATGCGCGAAAGGCACGCCGCCGCCTGTTGTAATTGGGCGGGAAATGATTTGCATTGTTTCCACGTTGGACTTCACTCATCGCGCTTCACGAGGAATCGCATTATCCGCGTATATTTACCTTACAATCGGCCGTTCTACCGGCCGGTCGAGGAAATCGGATTTTTCCGTTTGCGCGAAAATTTGCAATGTTATCGTTTGCAATGTTATCATTTGCAATATTATCGTTTGTTAACGATAAAATGTAGCGTTGAATGCCATTTTCGACGACGTCGAGGGAAAGCGATATAACGATCGCGTTATATGGAAGATCGACATTTCTACGAGAGATGAAGATTTCGATCCCACGAAAAACTGAATCAACGCGCGCGTTTCCGGTGTGTGGACGAGTCGCAATTTTCCGTCGCTCGCGTATAGTCGGCGTATAGTCATCAATGTTGTACCTAGTAAAATATTATTTGTATTGCGAAAAAAAGCAATTACTCGGTTAATTTTTTTTTTTAAGATTAATAGTTATCTTGAACAAAGAACATTTTTTCTCGATGATAGTGTCAGAATATATTCGACCCAAGTATGAAAAAAGTTTGTTATCCATTTACTCAAAAGATTTTGTTCCTTTCAAGAACATTATAAACTTTGTCAAAGAAAAGTTAAGTTCGGTTAATTGAAACAAGTAAACCGAAGTTTTAGTTTTAATGTTTTAATTTAATATTCTTGATTGAAGTACTAAACTTGCCAGGATTCAGAGTTCATTTTGAATAAATTTTACGGTGAATACTTATGATATACTTGCGGATGTACAAACTTATGAAATACTTGAAACGAGTATTTAATATTTTACCTGAATGCGCAGTACGTATTTTACAATTCTTCGGAAGATTTTCAGCTGTATTATCCGTTGCGCGAAAAATGACGCCACATCAACCAGCAAAGATAGACGGCCAGCCGACATTAGGCATAGCCGTTTTATCGTGCGATTTATCGCGGTTAATTTGCTCGGCCGATTTATGCGGGAAACGTGTATCCTAGGTCAGTCCGATTGGGGGGAGGATTGTCGCAATTTGCGCATAGAATTACGCAAGCAACCGGTGATAAGGACGAAGTACGCTCGCTCCGATCACCCGTATATTTTCCTTGTTTGCACCTTCCTCTCGTTTTGTCTCTCACGTGTGGGTACAGCGTCAATGATACGGATTCGTGGCGAAAATATATGAATATATTCGGGACGATTCCCCGTTGAGGAAATAATTATCAAGTGCTCAACGGTACAGCAGCTGCGTTATTTGTAACGGAGCGATATGAGAGGAGCAAATCGAGGAATTTAGCAAGATTATAGTATTCACCAAAGTGCACGAAATGTCTTATAATCGGTGATAAACTTTCTCCGAGATGAGCCACGGCAATGAGAAATTAATTGTGTTGACGAGAGGCGAGAGGTGAATTATCGGAACTGCATTATCGCGTGCCACGATAACGTTGAAAGGAGACGCTGGCTGTAAATATTTTTTCTTTCTTTCCTCCTCGGTCGCAGATAAGCGGAATCACCCGCCGGTCTGCATCGCAATGACACCAAAAATAAATAGCGCTGCATTCTAGTCCCGCGACGAGGATACGTCATTGTTTGACATAGTATACGTCACGTATTTACGAGAGTTCATTTCCACGCTCGTCGAGTAGATCGACCTCGATTGAGCCGCTCCCTCGCCTCTCGTATCCTTGATGTTCTTGATATCGTTGCGACATTTTTTCTAACACAAACGAGACACGTTCACTCGGTCCGAGAGGAACGCGATGAAAGCGCGCAAGCGATATTTGCCGATAATTCCACTCGAAAACGGCGGAAACGGGGAAACTACCGATCGTTTATCAAATATTTCTACGCGATCCACTTATGCGCGCGTTATCATTTCCGCAGGAAGTTATCGCGACAACGCTACCACGTACGTTTGTCCGATGCGCGTTATCGTCGACGATATTTAGCAGCGCCAAGTTCGAGCCCGATCCGCGGTTTTCTGTTTGGAAAGTCGCTCGATAAAAATTAATCGGCTGTGCGAAGATGAGAGGAGATTGAGTTAATTGAGCGAAGAGAGACGGAGCAGCGGGCCGTGGTGGGGAGAGGAGGCGGGAGGGTATAATACGATTAAGAGATAAGCATCGATCTCTTGACTGCTTTATGGAAAGAGGAAAAAAACGATACGCCCGACGCGAGTGGGATTATTTATCGCGCGAAAAAACAGTTCGAAAACAGCTCTTACCTTCGCGCTTTCAATCTTCGCGACAGAGCTTTCTTTCCTCGTTTTGCCAACGCAGCCGCGCAGCTCGTTCACGCGACTGTAAACCTCGCGCGGGATCTAGTTCGCCCTTTTTTTCCTCTGTTTATTATTTGACCGTGCACACCACCCACGCGTCGCGACTATTTCTGGACGTGGTGCGTCGTCGCGCGAGACGCATGTGCGCACGCATGTAAAACGCATTCGATGCGTCGTGTCTCCGTGCCGCGAAAAGCCGAAAAGCTGCTTGGAATCTGTCACGGATCGCCGGTGAGATCATGTTTTCTATGTTCATCTCATATTGTCCGCGGCTCTTATTTTATATACTTGATTTGTGGACAAAGAGAAAGAGTTATTTGATTTCGACAATTCGATCTCTACATTTGTTATTACACTGAGAGAAATATATATACTGAAGATATAATACTTAAACATGTTCTAATATATACACGTTTTAACACTGAGAAACGATTTTTTTTTCCTTCAAATGAAAAATTATATGTAGCTTTTCATAAAAAAAAAAAGAACGATCGTTTATATTACTTGCTTCTATATATATTTAAATGAAAGAAATTAGATTTGAATAAATATCTTATTAATACCGTTCGAACAAAGATTTCTTATCTTCTAGATGTTTTTCAGTCCGCCGTACGCGCGGTTATCTCCATACATCGAAACAATCGATGATTCTCCGTCATCGCACGCTGCGGAGAAAGCGTGCGACTTTTGATATTTTACCATTGACTCTCGCACGCGTGGCTATCTACGCACTCGAAACAATCGTCGTTTCTCGTAACTGCTGGTCCTCCGCTATCATACGCGCCGCTTGGGAGGAAGCGCGCGACTTCCGGAACGCCGTGTATACACGTGTTCACAGACACACACGAACACGCGCGATTGGGGAAGCCCTACATTGGGTTTCCTATCTGCGCCGCTTAATTTCCCCGCGTACGGGGGAGCAGCGAAGCGAAGTAACGTACGGTCGTACAGATATATACACGCGGCGGTCATAGGGGCGCCGAACGATATTCCTAACGTACTTTATTAATGAGCCGGCGGCGGTCAGCTGTTGCGATCCATATGGGGTGGTCGGCCCCGTCGAATGCACCCCCGTGCTTTGCTCTCCACCGTGACCCCCACCCTCCCTCTCAGCCGGCTCGTCCGCTCCCCTTTGTGACGCGCGTTTGCACGCGTGGGGCCATCAGCTGTGCACGCAATCGCGCCCCCTCGTCCTCCCGAAGGGTCTGCCGTGGGCATACGGATGGTTCGAAGGGGTCGGCATTTAAAATCAGGATTAGCGCGCCCGCATACCTCTCGCACGCCGGCTATTTAAAGTACACCCCACGTATCGGGGATGGTACGTCGTGCAGAAATATCGGCGAAATTCACCGACTCGCGAACGTCGCTCAACGTCTGCTGTCGGGGTCTCGAAGGGAAGCGACGAGTCTCTCGTCGTGATATTGATTTTTCCGCGTTCGGCGAAGGAAAGGGATCGCTTCTCCCGCTTTGTCGCGTGGCTCGGCGGACTTTCGCACCGAAAATTGGACAGATGCGCTCAATTTCAACGTGGAAACATCGCCAAATGGTATAACCACCCCGAAGGGGTTCGCGAGGGTGCCTTTGTGGCGCAGCTACGGGCTCCGTCCTCGTACCGGCGCATCGATTTATGAGTCATGACTGGCCGGGCTCGTGTCTCGGCGCGATTGTGGCTCTCGGTCGAAACTGTTTACACGTTATACACACGCGTGACAAGAGAGATTTCTCGGTGTGACTGAATATGTCCGCTCCGTTGTAATGACATTCGGGTCCGCTTGGAAGAAGTTGCAGCTCGAGCTGTCGGCCGAGAGCAATAAGAACAATATAAAATCGCGACCTCGCGCGCCTTATCTCGCCGTGTTATAATTAACGAGCGCGGTGCGCCGATATTACATTTCCAAGGTTATCGCGCCGGAGATTTCGCATGCATACCACCGTTAGTAAAGCCGAGATTGCAAGAGGTCAAGTGTGACACTGCTGCACGTGGTTGTGAGAAATCGGAATTCGAGATAAGTCGCGAAATGTGCCCGTTTTATTTCGGAGACGCGCAACATACGCTAACTCATACCCGATGCGACGTGATTCCGATGAAAGGAAAAGTGCAAAATATGCGTAATAACAAGCGATAGTCGTGTCGATCTGTGGAGCCGCAGTAACCTCGCGTTAGCACTTCCGCTTGAAATTATCTTAATTATAAAATTCGTATGTTTGTACGATTGAAGCGTATCTCAAATCTCGAGTCGACAAACTTGGCGACTTCATTTTGGGTCTGAAAATACACGAAGTCGTCGTCATCAAATTTATTTATTTATTTACGGGAAATTATCTCTTTCGTACGTTAGACACAATGTGTAATTAATTACATAATTTTAAGAAAAATGTATGCTGTGTTAAAGATAATGAGAAAAGAAAGAAATATGGAAATAAAGAAGAAAATATTGAGAAATAAAAGTATCCGGCCTATAAAAGCCCCGACTGCTATTAAACGAACGTTATAATTTATTGAAAAAAAATTCATCGTGTGAAATATTAAGAAACGTTTCAATATAGTGCAGATCCTCTTGAATTAACACTATACATGTATAGAAAGAAACATATATTTGGAGAATATTTTCTTTAAAAATATTTTAAGAATAATATCTTCGAAGTTGTCGCATTCTTCAGTTTGTGTTATATTATAAAAGAAATATAAATCCTATTCCTGTCTCCAAAAAGACCTAGTAAAAATAATATCTACGAGAAATTTGGAAACTTCAAGCTTCAATCCAGTCACTCCAATGGCTCACGATCCTTTTCCTACATGATCTTGTGCGTACATGGTAATCTTATCCATTAATATTTCTTTTCAATGAGTTTCTCGCACGGATTCATGTAAAGACGTATTCTTCCCGTTGTCTGTTGCAGATTTCATGAAGAGTCGTAAGCGCGGCCTGAACGGCACCACGAAGAGCATGATAGAACCGCCGGAGAAGATCGCTCGCAACGCGGGCCAAATACGCAGCTAAAAACCTTCAGCTTCCTCCTTCCTCCTTCGGCCTCTCGACGTCTTCTTCCACCTCGTCTACGCGCGTGGACGCGACGAAAGATAGTACCGGAAACGGGACATCGTACCACTGGGAGGAACGGGGAAAAAGAGGGCGCAGAGACGCTCCGGCAGGAGGCACGAGGTCCTCCTCGTTGGCTGTGCCATTCACATAGATTTATCCGCCGCGGGCGAAACCGACGGAGAGACGAATGGATTGGACGAGTCGGGGGTGGGGGTGGGGGGGGAGACCGAAGTGAGAGATGGTAGTAGCGCCGTCGTTCTCTATATATCTTCGCTGGTAACGTCGCTTTGTAGTACCGCGAGGATTGCGAGAGCAATAGCGAAAGAGAAAAGCCGTGGGACGAAGGAAACGGTAAAAATCAAGACAGATACCGTGTCAAAGTAAAAGACGCTCGGTAGAGAGAAGAGAAAGAGAGAGAGAGAGGAGAGAGGAAAAAAAGTACGACAGTGGCTGTCGCTATTTTTTATAATATACAGCACTATTTTTCTTTTAGGATAGACAGAATAAGTAAATTTCGGAGAAGAAAATTAGATTGTAGATAGAATTATGATTTGTCCAAATTAATTAATGTAATATATTCTTTGTTTCCACACAACAATCATATATAAAAAAAAAAGATTAAACGATGTCGTTACACAGCATTTTACGAGAGATTGAGTGGAAGAGTGAATAGGTGAATAAATGAGTGAGCGAGTGAAAGGACGAACGAATCAGCGAGCGAGTGAGTGGGTGAATGAGAGAGAGAGGGAGGGGAGAGAAAAAGAGAGCACGAGGAGCTACGAAATATACGCTGTTCATAGGCTATTCGTAGGAATTAGTTAACTAGATTCTAAGGCAGAGTATATCGCATGTATTGATTGGATCCGACGAAACGAATCGCTTGAGCTGGTTCAAAAACTGTTGGGATCGCGGCTATTGCGTTCCTATTTCCCCGAGTACTCAGCGACGAGTTCTCCTTGGAGTACCCGTGGAAACCGGTGTCCCATTGGAAACAGTTCTCGCGGAACATATTGCGCTGGTTTCGACGTTCAATCCTTGAAACACGCGCGATATTCTCAGGTATCTCCCATCGAATTAATAAATTAGAATAAATTTCACGAAACTTTACGGAACTTAAAACTTGATGGAATTTTATCGAAATCTCATATTTTCGAAATTTTACATTGCTTTCTTTGAAATTCACAGAAGAATCGAACAATCAGGTACAATTAGGCGATAAAAACGCAAAAGGCGTGATTCCGTGGCTAAAATGTGACCAGTATCAAGGAAGAAGGAGAGAGAGCGAGAGAAAGAGAGAGAGAGAGCGAGAGCGAGAATTTAGCTATAGTTTGTTACCCGAGTTTAAGCATTGATCTCCTGTACGATTTTAAGAAAGTACAGCCGATGCCAAATCACCCCGCGATTTTTTCTTTACCTGTAAAAAAAAACAAAGAAATCCGACTCCTTTCTTCTTTCCCCTTTTTCATCCTACGTCGCGTTTATTCCCGACAGATAGCAACGCGAGAGGCATGTGAATTTACAACTTCCGCGCAAAAAAAAACTTTGGCTTTCTCTCTTACATATTGCTTCCGATCTATTTATGTTACCAGTTAAGAGATAACGGTCTATTCTATGAAAATATTCGATGTCTTCACAACTTAACTCTCGGTCAAATTGAATTGCTCGTTCTCACGACGCGATATTTTTTTCGAAAATCTGTCTGAAAAGTGTTTTTCAGTCATTTTGCATTTTTTCACGTTCCAATTGATGTAGAAAAATGTAAGGTTTTGCACATTAATGTCGGGTTGAACGAAAAATTAATGGAAAGTTTTGATTTTCCCTAACTTCGCGACTGAAAAAAAAGAACATTGCAGTGATGACAGGAAATATTTGCTGATTACGATCTGCTGATTTCCTATGAAAATGCTGCCAAGCCAATCGCAAATGACATTAACTTTTTGTTAGTCATAACAGTATATATACTACCTCAAGGAACGAGTTTCTTCCATGATAGTATATAACTTTCTGTTCTTTCTTTTTCTTTAAGGAGAATACATACCGCAAAAAATCAAATTTTTGGGCGCCTAACGAGAGGTTAAATAATTTGCCAATTTTTTATTTTCGTAATCGATACGGAGAAAAAGATTTCCATTGACAGACTCTTTGTTGAGGTCGAACGAATTAAGCATTTAACAACGCGGGATGATACATCCAAATTGCGAAAGCCAACGTTTACTTCGTTTGTCGCCAACGAATTGTTATAGAGCGTAATATTAGCGTACCACGTAATTATATATTCTTAATTGAATTTGTTTTTTCTTTTTATAACGAGTAGCTGTGTTTATACATCGGGCGCACACGCGATCTCCCATTTATTAATATCCTGTTCTTCGTTCAAGGTATATTCTACCTTGTCTCCCAACTCGTCCCAATACTTTCCCGCCCGCCATTTTTCTTTTTTGAGATTATAACTCAAAAATACGACTGGTGGTTACAGGCAATTTTTCAAGGTCCGCCTGCGACATTGAGCGCGATAGGCAGACAAAGTAAGAGGAAGAGAAAAGCGTCGTGTAAAATGCAAATTAAGCTTGAAGTTATCGACGCGTCAATCGCAATTTTCAAAATCAATTTTCCTCCGCGCGAAGCGAAAATGAAAAATTGAACATTTCACTTTTGGAAATTCGCAATGCAATCGGTTCGGTGGTTGGTAAGAATCGTCAATTTCGCGGGCGCGAAGCGCACGTTCGTGGCATACTTGGCACCTTGTGATTTCAACGTTAATGCAAGTCTCAATGAGGGAAGAAGCGAATCGATTTAATCTGGCAATTTGGTACCATGAGGTATAACACGCATCTCGCTGGTGACGCATCTCATTTGACAGGAAGTAACGAGCAGAATTTGGTAACGTTCAAATTCTACAAAATAATCGTGCTTCTTTCTTTTTAATTACTATCAAGTTGAAATTAAATTATTAATATAATAAATGAGCCGGCGTTTTATATCTCCCCATTACTGGAAATGAAACCGAAGAAACAATAACCACGAATCTTGGAATCTCGCAAGATCTGAAAAAAAGTTGCGACGTTTGGTGCCTGCAGCGGGGAAAACTAACAAAAAAAAAGTAGCAAAAAGAGAAAAATCTTACGTCTATGTAACCCTGTGATGTATTAGTATGATCTCAGTAAACGTAACTTAGCGTGTACTTTTTATCTATGATAATTAGATCATATATGTATATGCGATAGCCAAGAAGTATGAAAAATCATAAATCATGGATAAAAGTCGACGATTCATATATGTGCGTATGTGGGTATGTGTATGTGCGAATGAGCGAGCGATCCTATGTATGTATGAATCTTGTAAGATAAAGGATAAAATAAAAAAAAGGGAGAAAAGAACAGAAAGCAAGAGAGAGAGAGAGAGAGAGAGAGAGAGAGAGACCATGAATGAAAGAAAAAGAGCGAGAGAAAGACCACCCAGTGTTGAATCATGCCTCTAATCGGTAACCCAACGATAAAATTATGTGTGTAACGACAATATTATTATATATTGTGTATAATTCTATAAACTATAACTATAAAAGAGTCTAAATACTAACTAACTAACTAACATAAGTGAATCGTGTCCCACTTGTTTATTAAAGAAAAAGGATCTATCTATATAAAAAGCGTTTTCATTTCCTCTCACAAAGTGCTTCCCGCGACAAATCTTTCCTCGAACACCGAGTTTAAATGCAATGTTCATAATTCGATCTTAAATTCATCTTAAAATGCTGTTAAAGTTGCTTTATTTGCTATGTAGCATTTTAAAATGAAATTAAAACGATCTCAAGTATAAAATCCGCCTATGAATGTTCCGCCTTAAAAATGTTTTCCACTGTCGGATGTATCCTGAGTAATTCGCTATTATTAAAGTGATAAAACTGAAAAGTAATTTAAATCCAAATAATTTTTCAGCTCCTTTATGATCCCTTATATTGTTGGTTCTTCATCAATTTGTGAACTTTAAATTTAATCTTAATAAATTCTTTAAATTCATAAATTAATAAATTTTTAATTTGATAAGAAATAGCGAATATTACACCGATACATCTAATATATAGTAAAAATTGTGTACAATCTATTTAAATTGTTATGCCACTTTAACAAAATGAATATGTTAATTTAACATGGTTGTGTGTTTTTTAAACATATTCTCAAGTATTGTTTTTTTTAGTACAAACTACTATTCTCCGAATATATGTTAGCACACGATTAGCAATATCCAATCTCACGTGCTTCACGTGTTCTTCTCCTCTTTCTATTTTTCGCGAAGAAAAACAGGCGCTTTAACGCTTTTTCGCGACAGGAGGATATCAAGGATTGATCAAGCGCCGCGTGTTCTTCTTCGGCTACACCGCAAAATCCGGCTATCAAGGGAAATTGTGGCAGGTGCAAGTGCGCGACTTGCGCAAGTAAAAGAGCTTGTTCCCGATAGCCCGGAACAGGTGCTCGCCGTTAAGTGATTTCATTTCACCTTTACGTCCCTTCGATCGCTGCTCAAAGGCCAATTTTGCGGTTGTAACGGTCGAATTCCGACGCGGAGAGCGTAGCTAACAACGGCAATATATATAACATAGTACCATATCGACCGTGAAAAATTATGCGTTATTTATGAAAAGTACAAGAAATACACAGAGTACAGATCTCCGAAAAATGGTACGAATAACGTCGCTATGAGACAAACTGCTAAAAATATACAAAAGATTTCTCTACGAGGGAATAATGAAAGATATTTAGACAGTTTTCATCGAGAACGAAGATGAATTCCTTAAAATCGCCGAATACTTTGCGATTCGTTGATTCTGTCCTCGAATAAGTGATATTTTATATTAATCCACTAAAGTTTTTCGAAATTAATAGTAAGAAAAATCGTTTCCTTTGAAGGAATATTTTCACTTTTAGAATCGTTTTTCAGCCAAAATAGGAGTTAATTCCGTTATTAAGATCATAAGTACATTATCTTCCCGCAGAGTTTCAAATTTCTCAAAATTTAATAACTCCCGAGTCCCTTTGTAAGCATATTTGCAAGATGACATTTTACGTGAGACGATTTAAAGTACCACTCACGTACGTCATACAAAGTATTTTAGCATGGTTATTCGTAATCAAGTGGTAAGGGCCGCGGGCTGTTTTATATCGTTTACATCAATTACAATGATATATCACGCCAGTGTCGCGAGTGCAATTAGCGAGCTGGAACGTTTCGTTGGCCAACACGTTGTTTATCGACGTATAGCAGTGTGTCGTAAAGCGCGAACCAAAGCTGCACTTCGCGCTGCCAAATTTGCAAGTAAATTAACGCAAACTGACTGAGGAGGTCGTTGATGTGAAAAGTCCCGGCACTTTACGCGCATCATGTATGAAATATTCACTGTTTCAGCGTGCACAATCGCTTTAATATCGTCACGTGACTCACCGATTTTTATTTGCGTGATTTATTGTATTATCGAGAGAGAAAATGAGTCAAGAGGTTTTTCATTTCACTTACATTTTACTTACAATTTTTGCCATCTCCCATTTGTTTTTCCTTATCAATACTGTATTTAGCGATGCCAGGAGACAATCTTTGGGATCGATATAATGACAATATAATGACAATAATATAGTAACTTTTTTTATCTTGTATCAATTATGGTATTAAACTTTTTGAGACATTTGCTTACTTCCGATATTTCGGAAAAAATTGTATTTTAACGCACTTTTTCCTAGTATTAATTTTGTAATAATATGCTATAGCATTTCCGGGCCATTGTATGTTTTTCAATGTTTTGGGAAAGTTATATTTCGGGACATTGTCTCGAGATTATAACCTTTCGAGTGATGACGAATTTTCGTAACTTCGCATGCATCCACCTGGCGCGTGAATCGCGACTTTTTCTCGCATTCCGTGTCCTCGTTGCGACGCGACGTAGAGACACGCGACGCGGCGTTCACTCTATAGTTATGCTTCTATGCAATCTCTGTTGCTAGGCGCATACCTCGGCCCACCAGTAATATTTTTAGACGATACACGCGCTCGCGTGTCGCCGGCGATTTCCGAATGAATCGGACGAGCCCCTGAATTTGCTCAATGAGAATATGGTCGTAAGAATATTTATGATAAATCGTCGCAACATATAGAATTTCCGAGTGAATACAATACCATATATATTTTCAGCTCGACCTTAGGTAAAGAATTTCGGCACGAATACCCGTTTCGAACATCTTCAAACGACTCGATTAAATTACTTTGGGTCACAAGTATCGATGAGAATTATTACGAGTTAAATAATCGCTAAAATAATAAATACGAATAATAAATACGAATAATGAATAATAATAAATACGATGCTATCTTTTAATGCTTTATTCAAATTTATACAAAGTCGATACACTGAGAGAAAAATATGTAAAAAAAATAAATATTT